CAGACTCCAGTCCTCGTTTCTTGAGAAACCACAGCTTAGATACTTGAGGGTGCTCACGTTCCATGGAACCTCATTCAGCCAAGTATGAAAGCAGCAGCGAGTCGGGTGAGTGGCCATAACAGTAGAGAATGCATACACGTACGCTGAGCAAAGGTTTTTCGACGGAGGTTCAAAATCTTCAACAATCCAACGTTGGGAACAGAGGCTGTAAACATCCACAACGGACTGTCGCCGTCGCGTCGCCTTCCTGAGGGCTGTTCAGACCGGCACATCCAGTAACTTTGGATCGGCTTAACGGCGTCATGACCAGAAACCACAGTTCCTTTACACAACGGTCCTAATAATGACCATGAGTGACCGACCGATGAGGAGCTAACTTCCTTCCTTAAATACAGGTTGGGGCTGACTATTACACTGTACAGCAAGTATACCTGCAACCTCAGGAAGCGAGACCTCGTCACTCTCGGTCTTGCTCTCGGAACGGACGTTTTGCATCAATCGTTATCTTATCCCCTGACGACTGTAATAATCCGGTCCGGTTTTAAAGACGAGCAATCTGCGTTGCACGACATATGGCTGGGCGTTGTACTGAAATCCAGGCCGAATGATGTCATCGGTTTTATTGTACCGCAGCTGTTGCGACAAGGTCATATTCGACGGATGTGATACATTCGAAGGCGGTCGGCCGTGAAACCGTCACTTCCGACCTCGGCGTCGTCTGGAAGCGCGATTGTGACTTCTTTTCTGCCTCGATGATTACGGAGGAAGTGGAGCGATTGTGCTTATTCATGGCATCATAATGGCGTCGCTTACCAGTAGTGAGCGTCTGAGCCGTTTCTGAACGCATCTTGCCTTTTCCAGTCGGTTTGAGCGTTTACGCGTAGGAGACCATGCCTACTATAGCATTTAGGGGCGTTTACACCGCATATGAAATTTATTAAAATGAATCCCGACGTTTCGGATCAAACTCGATCCATTTTAAGGGGATATAAGACATTCACTTGTATTATGTCCCCTGATGATGGATACAGTTCGATCCGAAACATCGGGATTTATTTTAATGGAGCTTATGTGGTGTAAACCCTTTAAAGATAATGACGATTATGAACTTTCACTTTCTACCCACATAAAGAATTCTAGCAATATCTTTAAAACTGATAAGATTTAAATATATTAATTTGAAGTTTGTAATAACATGCAGTAATCCGTTAGGGGTTTATGCGATTCATGCCATAGGAGTTCATTGTTGTAAATATGCCGCGTCTGTCACCCGAATGGCAAAAAACCACAAAGGGCGCTAAACACGTGATGCTGCTAGTAAAAACGGACTTCCAATCATTTATATACCTTTTGCCTCTTCGTATTAGTATTCATTAGACAGCTTGAGTCTGTTATGAAATTTGTCGATTAGTGTGATGGCTTTATCAGAATCATGAATGCTTCGCAGCATGTAATTAGCATGGGCATACCAAAGAGACGGTGAACGAGCACCAACAAGACGACTACTTTTCAGCAAGCAACGCGTGACACAACTTACATGAAGTCAGACCGTTCATTCAGTAGAGCACCTGGACTCATAACCGAGGGCTGTGAGTTAGACTCACGGTCGGGTCACTCATATTTTATCTTTCTAATATAGATAATGCGCGTTTCGAAAAGGAAACGGAGTTTCACGCTATGGCACACAATTAGGTTCAGATATCGCTCTAAAAATGGAATAATAAATCATTTCTGGCTGATAGCACGCCGGTGGAGATAAGCCAGGCTCTCCTTAAGGATGTTATTACTGCGATCATTTCTGTGTCATAAATTGCAGCCTGTAACCCAAGTGTCGAAAAGAGGTTCAAAAATTTATGGCACGAGAGTAAACCGGAATAGCATTGCAGCAGTAACGATTTGGTATGACACAGTGGGCACTTTTTGGTCAGTTTTTGACTCGTCTGCGACTATTTTTCTGATCAGGAATGTACCTGGCTTGTCATAATGTGTTATCGGAGTTTGTGATCTTCCCCCAAACGATATCCTCAAGGATTAAGTTGCAGCACCCTCTAGAATTGCCGTTTCATTGTGTGCTTCTTTCATAGTCAGTCTTATATCTGAGAGTTCTTCGACCTCATAACTAGTTTTACGGCATCTCTTCTAGACTCCATCTGTGGACAGAGCCTCTCTCTGCACCTGGCTTTCACTTCTGCTTTATTTAAGATGAAAACTACAGTTGAAAACTAACTTAATTGTACGCTGTTTCCCTCATTCCGATTTGCGTAATGCACCTTGACAGAAAAAAGTACCTCCTCGGTTTTGAACGTCTTCATCCACTTTTTGAGGTCTGCCGTCCGTGAAAATGGACACGCATGGTTGCTGAAACCACTGAATCAGGTTCGGCCAATGGAGTCTTTATCAGACACGCTCCGTGGTTCAGTGCATTCGCCGCCTTTACGCTGTCAGCTTAGATCATCGAGGGTTTCGTCAAATTTGACTTATAGTCGTTTTTGCGAAATTACATCTGGCATTTTGATCCGCAAACAGTTTTTCATAATCGAAGGCGATTACCGTTGATGACTCGGCAGACTCATGAAGGTTGACGCTCCTCGTTTCTAATTCTTTCAATGCTTGTTCGCAAAAAGTCGTCACAGTCTATCGTTGATTCTTAATCCCCTGTTGACCCAACCCGGCGGTTGTCAGTCACCATTTCGTCGACGTCGTCGTGCTCGTTAGTGACCGCGTACTGACCACTCTGATCTGACCACTCCGTTTCCCGGTAACACGAAGGCGAGTGTTTGGTGGCAATACTGGTTACGGTGTATTGTGATTCACTTCTGGACATACAAGGCACGACGAGTGACATCCGGACCTTAAATTATGGCTGTTCCTGAATGAAACTGTTCATAAGATTGGTAACATATATTGCCGTTTGGTTGTGTCAGTTATAATTTCATCGTCTTCATCTTTCATGTCATCTTCCATGACCACTTT